TCATGGCAGAAAGTGAAGAGGAACTAAAGAGCCTCTTGATGCAGGTGAAGGAGGAGAGTGCAAAAGTTGGCTTAAAACTCAACATTGAGAAAACTAAGATCATGGCATCCGGTCCTCTCACTTCCTGGCAAATAGATAGGGAAGAAATGGAGGTAGTGACAGATTTTATTTTCCTGGGCTCCAAGATCACCGCAGATGGGGACTGCAGCCAAGAAATTAAGAGACTCTTGCTCTTGAGGAAGAAAGCTATGGCAAATCTAGACAGCATACTAAAAAGCAGAGACAACACCCTGCCAACAAAAGTGCGTATAGTCAAGGCTAGGGTTTTCCCAGTTGCAATGTATGGCTGTGAAAGCTGGACCATAAGGAAGGCTGAGCACCAAAGGATTGAGGCTTTTGAATTGTGGTGCTGGAGGAGACTCCTGTGAGTCCCTTGGACTGCAAGGCACTCAAACCAGTCAGTCCCAGAGGAGATCAACCCTGACTGCTCTTTAGAAGGCCAGATACTGAAGATGAAACTCAAATATTTTGGCCACCTAATGAGAAGGAAGGACTCCCTGGAGAAGAGCCTAATGCTGGGAACAATAGATGGCAAAAGAAGGGGATGGCAGAGGATGAGGTGGCTAGATGGAGTCACTGAAGCAGTCAGCATGAGCTTAAGTGGACTCCGGGGGATGGTGGAGGACAGGAAGGCCTGGAGGAATGTGTTTCATGGGGTCGCGATGGGTCGGACATGACTTTGTGACTAACAACAACAACATTTAATTTGGTAATATTCCTCTTTGCTTGTTTGAATTTCATTGCCATGAATATTTTTTCTTGTTTGTTTTTATTTCACTGTGCAATACTGAATTTTCCAAATCAGTAATAATGTTAAGCTTGAAGCAATCTATAGCATAGCAGAGGGTGCTGACATTCTCTGGGCAACAGGTTTTGCCTGGGAGGTTTCCAGTGCCAGCACATCAGTTCCTTGCTGACTCATGTACTATCACACTTAATTACATGGCCTGAATAGCAACAAAACTGCTATAGGCATGCATCTGATAAGAGGAGAATGCTACAGAGAACTTGACTAAGAGAGTAATCCTATGCCCCCTAGACATTGTCTAGGGACCCTTGGGTGCAAGGGAGTTGGGATGCAGGAGCCATAGGATGCTAGGTGGTAGACAGAGCTACAACCTTGGAAGGAGGAATTCCCTATGCTTACCACCCCCCAGCACGTCTGACCTTCATTGTGAGGAAGACAAAGTAGAAAGATAGATGGGGAAGTGACAGTGGGTGGGGAAAGAAGAGGAGAGGTGGATCCAAAGACCACTCATTTGCCATCCGAGCTCTTGGCAAGTTGAGTGCATTAGATATGCTTAGCGCTCCATCCCTCCGTCCATCCAAACTGTGAATTTGAAGGACAATTTCAAGGATATGATGAAAAGCTTGTTTAAGATGAGAATTTGGCAACATCTGTTGGGTGATGTCATATTTCTACTTTGGACATATACTCAGCCAAAAGCACTTTCACATAACAAATTGATGAAATTACAACCTTGGTAGTAATGGCAAAATGGTTGTGGTACCATTGAAAAGATTAGCTATGTTACACTTGATCTTAGCAAAAAGACCAAGAAGATTACACCCTGATGCACCCAGGGGGACGGGTGGCTGGCTGAACCAGCAAGTTGAGGTGTTTAAAAAAAAACAAAACTTCAGCAACTTCAAATATGGGGTATACTAATCCTAGAAATGGGTTATGGGAATTCTGCTAGCTGTCCCCCATGGAACACCCATTCTTTTCCTATAGACAAAAACAAACATACAAAAGCATAGGAGCACATGTTCATACTGCTTTTGCCCTATATTGGCTGCTGTGTGTGAATGAATAACACTTGCAAAACAAAAAAGTTTTCTAGAACAGTCACAAGCCCGAGCCAAAAGTTTCTGGGTGAATTCTATAAGATTTATTCTATAGACCTAATGGATCAGTGCAGAAGTTCTACCTTCCATCTCTATTCAAATACCTTCTATACTTTCAGCACCGGGAGGTTTATTCTATTACACAAATGACAAATTGGTCACTTATTAATTATCTTAACCTTTGCACTTCAGGTATATGTGAAACATATTCTAAGGTAAAAATCCTGGATCTGTATACTGAACTGGGATCCTGATACAACTCACTAATTTTAATGCAAAAAATTTGATGAACTTGAATGAAGTTTTGAATTGCATTAAGCTCTAGTAATCTCTGATAATACAATAGCTCCTTAAAGTTTAAGTAAGACCACTTGGGGATTTTAATCCATTTCCTATTTGATATGGACCTCAGCTAAGAATGATGTCACTACAGTTTACTTATGTCTGAAACCTATTGCACCACAGAGACCATGAACTAAAATTCCAATTTGATAAAGCTTATGACACCTTTTTAATAAAGTACTGAAGCCTTCTCCATTTGATGCCATCCAGATATTTTAGGCTACAACTCACAATATTCCTGACTATGTTTTTATTCACTAGGACTGATAATGGTTAGTTGGAAAACTGATGTAGTGTATTTCCCTTCACAGAACCTAGAAATGAAAGCCCAAATCAAGGGCTCTACCTGGGGCAAATGCAGGCTGCACCAGCTGCAATCAAGATACGTCATCAAAATAGTTGGCCTAAGCACATGTTTAAAGTACAGTTCTAGTAATGTTGTCAGTCATTGGTGCATCTAAGGTTTCCACAAGATCAAAATCCCCAAATTGCATGTTATATTCATCCCAGTATTCTTTCGGTAGCAAATTGGTTATTTGAATGTAAAATGTGGGAGAGGGATAATGTTATAGAAAGGGGGCTACATATACTATCTAAATATTGTCATGCTGCTCTTCTTCACACAATTGAATGCTGAGTGAGCATTCCAGTGCAAACTTTGCATAAGATTAAAACAACAACAAAGCGAAATCTTCTAAAATTACAGGGGAATACAGTGGCAAATAGCCTGCTTTGTTTCTTGCTGAATTTCTTTAAAACCAGTATGTTATAGCTAGATTTCATAGTGGAATGCGGTGCACAACTAAAGAACTTGGCTTATGCATGATAAATGAATAACATCTGTGAGATCCTAAAGTATATATTAACATGCTATCCATAAATTTGTTTGATTATATTTCCTGTACCCCAAGTTATGTTTAACACTTGCACAGACTTTGTGAATGTCGTTATTTTTGCAACAGCAGAGGATACACTGGATAATGTTCTCTCTGATGGTACAGATGAAAGGTTACTGTTGCTTTCTATCAAACACATAAGCACACTTTCATCCTCACCTTATTATTCTGATGCTTCGTATTGTCCTCCACTGTGATATATAATTGGTTCACTGGCTACAGCAAATCTTTTTATCCTTGGTAGCAAATTAAAGTATATTTTTTCAAAGGGTATTTTTCAGGAATGGGGGCTGGGAGGGCTTCCTTCAAATGCAGAAAAACTGTAGGTAAATGTTGTGGAATGAGTAAAGAACACTGCAGAAAATGGCCCACCTCCATGTATCCCCCTCTTCTGCTTCATGAATGGTTCATAGGCATTCATGCAGATAAGAAAAATGCTCAGGTATTTTAAAATCAAATAATGTGTACTTGCTATAAGTCCTCGTGGCATTCACATTCCAAATGCTGCTTGGGTAGTGGCTGGGTACAGACAGAAATGTTTGTACAATTGTACTTCACACCCAGTCAACATTTGTACAAGTTCCCACCAAAGCGCCCATTGAAAATGGAAGTAAATTCAGCCCCACAATACAGACCTTTTTCTGGTATTGTTGAACAAAATTATCCTACATTACACAAATCCAATGCTAACCTCAGTATTTATGTGTACATATTAGCAATCAGATGTGTAAAAGGATGCTTGACAAAAGCATGGTAGTAGTAATAAGACACATTTTTTTTATCAGACTGAACCTATCAAAGCTTTTGACAACAAATAATACTTTATCCTTACAAATCCTTTTCTAATCTGCACTGACCTAGAGTTCATTTGGTGATCCAAAGCCATCAGGTCAGTGAAGGCTAATTTACATTGTGGTACTTGCTAGATGCAATTTCTGTGATCACTGCCTGCTGTTGAGGAGTGCCATTTTCTGCTTTCTGTATAGCCTGATCCTGCCTAATTTTGGAAGCTAAGCAGGGTGGGTTTGGCTGAAATCTGGATGGGTGACTTAAATGTTGTGAATCACCCAGAGAGCTTTGGATATGGGTACTATAGAAATGTAATAATAAATAATTTTATGTGTCTGGAGCCATCACCATCTTATTTTAATCAAAATGTCCAGTATAGAATTGCTCAGTGATACAATGATGAAGAAAAGACCCAAAGATATTCTGAATAAAGTAAGATGGCAGTGCCTCCAGGTAGCGGGTGTTGGTCTTAGGCAGCCATAGTGGAAGTCCTGGGATGCTTGGGCCTCATCACTTCCCTGAAGCTGGCACCTGCCCCGCCCTGCCCCTTAGGTGTATTTTTGCCTTGTATCCACAAAACTGATTGATGTGTGCAGCAGTGTTACAAGGTCCTCAGCCAGAACATTTTAAACTAGTATTAGATTGCATATTTCATTAATGAGGCATATATATGCTAGATTTTAAAGGGGGAGATTCTGTTATCAGAAGACAAATCTCATTTTTCCTATTTTTGTGAACTAGGATGATTTACGAAGTGTGACTGTTTTCTCCACTTATTCCAAGAAAGTTAATGTGTTTTTATAAAATCCAGAGGTTGTAAATATGCATGCTTGAGCTGGGATTGTGATGATAAAGCATCTTGTTGAATTAGATGCCAGAATTCTGCCTATATAGTTTATATATGTCTCAAGATACATACATTAGTATTCTTTTAATATCAAAGAGAACCGTTTTATTCAAGTGCTACCTACTGGTGCCAGATATCTATTCAATTATAATAAATGATGGACCTCTATACTTATTTATAATCTAGCAATGTTGCTAATATTTGCCTCTTGTTGGCAGGTCAGCCATTCAGAAACTGGGAACAGAAGTTTTTGAAAAAGTTTATGAGTTCCTCCGGCAAGCAAGACAGGCAAATGCAAATGAAGATGAAATCAAAGAATACCTGGAAAAGATAGTATCCCGGGCAAGTGACTGTTTTGAAGTAGATCAGCTGCTCTATTTTGAAGAACAGCTACAGGCTTCAGAAGATTCTGCATAATGTCATACATTTCAGAACTGATGGACTTGGATGATTTCAAATCAGTGAACTCTTCAACTGAAAGCAAGCAAGCATCAAGTCATATGGGTAGAGAAATCAGTAGCATGCAAATACTAATGGGGAGAATTGTTACGGTTTTGTTATATGATATAAAGAGCCCTGTTTTCCATTTCCAAATGATGTAATTGGGAGCTTTTTGAGTGATTTCCAACAGAAGCAGTATTAGCAGATCTCAAAAAAGGTTTCTTTGAAAATTGCAGGATTATAGTTGTCAATCATACATATGCATGCTCAATACTTTCTTAGGAGAATTTGTGATGTTTAATACCCTTTGCTTCACCCACATTTCAAAGCAACGTGAAGAAAAGCATGATAGATGAGATGGCAGAATAATAGAGGGTAAAAGAGAAAAACAGCTCCATGCTTTGACTAGTCCCATCATGCAAAGATAGGGGGCACTGAGTGGATTTAATACTTCTTGAATTGGAAATGTTAAGGCTAAATCAAATGCTCTCCTGTAAATATTTTCAGAAAGAAAAGGGGGTTGGTGGGAACAAATGATTTCTAAGAGACCTTTCTGTGATGTGCAGCTTTGGTGCTGTTTTTGTCCTCCAGAGCTTCACAAAGGTCATTCCTTTAAGATAGTTCCCCCCACTGGAGCACCTAGGAGAGCCGCTTGTTGCTTCTTCACAGTGACCAGCCATCCTGTTTTTCCAGACCTTTTCTAGTATATTGAGCTCCTCACATAACAAATCAGATCTGGCAATATGATCTCACCCGGGGGGGGGGGGGGGGAGCTAGTTTGTGCTCTTTTTCAAACTAAATTTGTGGTGGAACTATCACCAATCAGGACTTCAGAAGGCCTCACAAAACACTGCCTGATGCACTTCCCATATCTTCTCCACTGCTTTTTTTACCTGGTTTAGAATGAGGGGAGAAGCTGTGGTGATTTCTTATCCTTGTTAGTCTGTGTTGTTGGACCCAATTGTAGCGTTTCTGCATAGCACTTTTTAGTTTCCTAAAATTATGGAGAGAAGCAACAATCTCTTCTAAGGTTCCTATTCTTCACTGTGATTTCTCTGGTTGCCCAGACCCAGGATCTCCATTGTTCCATTGTTGTTATGGAAACACCAGAGAGTTCTGTGGAAAGAGTGGCCATGGAGGTGGCTGCTGAGCCATCCATTCTCTACTACTCTCAACTCCCTAGCATCACATGCCATGACCTGCTTTATTCCTATAGATCAAGTGATGTGCCTGTCTGCTTGTTTTGTTTTTTTCCAGAGGGAGAAAGGAGAACCATGGCAAAAGTGTTTATTATTTAATTTAAAAAATCCTTGCAAGTTGGAGTAGCCAGGAAGTGTTGAAGAGATGCAGGTACACTTACAAGAGGAAAAAGGAAGACCCTGCCTCAAAACCTCAGCAGACCAATCAGGATAAGGCTGCTGAGGTCCCTAGGGAACAAGAACATAAAGAAGGGAATTTCACTCGGGGGAGGGGGCTGCTGGATGCATGGAGAGAACAGAAGGATGGAGCAGGGAGAATGGCAATCACGTGGCCATGGGAACCATGTGAACATCGGACTGGTAAGTTTGAGCAAAAATCTATGTGCCACGGAAACTCTGCAGGGTTGTTTGCCATGATATGGGAACTCAGCCAGCATGGAATTGAACTGCTTTGTCTCTGCAACACCACCATGAAAATTAAGTTTTTCTAAAAGGTCTCCCAAAAGAGGGAAATAAATTATTTGCAATATGAGCCATATATGGCCAAGGTCAAACTAGAGGTCATTTAACCAGTGTGGTTTTTTTTTTTTTTCCTTTTGTAAAGTAGAACTTTGCAACATTATATATTCAGTGCAGAGCAAACCATGAGCATGCCACATTGTTCCATTTTTGCAAAGAATAGGAAATCTTAAGCCCTCTAAATGTTCCTGGACTGCAAATTCCATCAGCTCAGAAAGTATGGCCTCTTCTCAAGGATGATGGGACTAGAGTGCCATATGTTCACCCCTGGGGAAATTTGCTGGATTTCTTTTGGTTTTCCTTTGCAGTCAGCATTGCTTTCCTTAGCTTTACTCTGTGCTTTGAAGCCAAGTGCTACAGCTGTATCTACTAAGTAAGCTGGTAGTAATCTAGCATCCAAGCATCACCTAGATCATTTTAAAGGATTGTTTAATACCACAGTATTATAGTCATCAATCCCTGGGGATTTAACAATATAAAGCCAAAAAGAACAGCCTGTGGGTGAAGGCTGGAGTAGTCAGGTTCCCTGGGGTAGTCAGGTTCTCCAAAATGCATTTACAGTCTGGAAATAATGTTATAGCTACCCACACATTCTTCAGGGAAACACTCTCAGGAGCACAATACTTTTATGTATCAGAGAAATAGAAAGAAATCTAACTCCAAAGACACTGCAACAGCCACATACTGATACGGTTTGCATGATCAAAATAAGCTAATTTTTTGATACAAAAAACATTTTTAACTTTTTTCAAATTTGCTGTGCATGCACTGTGTAATTTGATTAATCACCCCCCTGGGTGCAGCTTCTTGTGTTAACCAAACCTGGGCCTCACGGCATCTTCCAATGGTGAATATAATAAAGGCAGAGGAAGCAGGAGAAAACTGCAGCTGCTCACACATGGACGAAGCATCACATTTCGCTTTCTTTCTGTTCCACGTGTTCCTCTCAGTGATTTTTTTATGCTTGAAGAGATAACTAGCAAGGAAAAAGAGCAACTAAATAGTAGCTACTAAAAGAGAGCAGAACAGACAGGTGCAGCACCACTTCTGCTTGCCCTTACCTTGTTCTGGCCTTTTCTACCACCACAGTGGTAATATTTGTTTCTCTGGCTGCCCCCACAAATTCTGTGAATCTCAGGTATCTACCTGAGGTAATTTACAGGTTCACAGCAGATGTGGGGTGGATACCCTGCCTCAAATATGAGACCCCCCAGTGTTTCAAACAAATTTCAATGTTTGCTGAAGATTAATGATAGAAAAAAAACCTAAAATCTGAATAAATAGACACAGCAACACGCACTCCCCCACAAAACACTCCCAGCCCTCCATGCAGGACAGACCCATTAATATTGCATCATTGCATTCTAGCGTCTGGGTGATGCTTCAAGAATTCACTCAGACCTGAAGAACAGGTTGCATTGAGTTCTAGTGCTTCCACGGTTCCTCATGATATACACATTTCTAGTTTCCTGTGTTTAAACTTTCTGTGAACTTGCTGAATCCTCAAAAAAGCAGCTCTAACCTTGTGACCTGCAGAAGAACTGACAGGCCCTTCCAAGTGATAAACTTTATTTAGCTAAGTGATTGTGTAACTCTGTAAATAAATACTTTTATTTTACCTAGGCTCCCATGTGAAAGCAAGAAGGAAGGGAGTTTAACCCTAACAGGATGGGCTTTACAAAGAAATTAAAAAGCTGTCCCACAAGGAAAGGGGCTTTCTCCCCTCCCTCCGTGTGTGTGTGTGTGTGTGTGTGTGTGTGTGTGTGAGAGAGAGAGAGAGAGAGAGAGAGAGAGAGAGAGAGAGAGAGAGAGTCCACTACAGTGTCAACTCAGAATAAATGGCTGAAAAAGTTCTTTCTTATTAAAGAAAAAACTTTAATATGTTTCCTTGCTTTTAATTTGTTTCCATTGTTGTCCTTTCAAACATGTCTCTGAACGTAGAACAGTTTCATCAGACTCATATGGTGGTAGGCTTAATTTTTCAGTATACATCATGATACAAGTTTAATTCAAAATGTGATTGAATAAGTATTCCCAATTTTTTAGTCAATTATGCATTCCCTGTTGCATTGTGCATAGCCCTGATATGCAGAAGAGTTTCGTGGGTGAGAAATATCCCATTTTTAAGCTTTTGGCTAAATTGGTTTTGTTGGTTGGTTGGTTTCTTTCAATGAAAACAATAGATAGAAAATGCTGGAGTGTTTGTCACAATAAACAAAAAATATTCACCCATAGGGCTTTTATACCACGCAAAAAGGTGATGCTGTTAGGTGCCTGAAGATAACATCTAAATGATGCCTCCATGTTGGTAATAATACAATTGATTGATGGGTTGATGGACTTCAATAATTGCCCTGGGTACCAGTCAGGTCACAGATAGAACACACAGACCACACTTGTCAGGGAACTTTGCCATTTTCAAGTTGAAAGGGGAAGGAAGGATGGACGGACAGACCAGAATGGGCCATGATTCTGTTGTTAGTTGTGAAGTCATGTCCAACCCATCACGATCCCATGGACAACATTCCTCCAGACCTTCCTGTCCTCCACCATCACCCAGAGTCCACTTAAGTTCATGCTGACTGCTTCAGTGACTCCATCTAGCCACCTCATCCTCTGCCGTCCCCTTCTTCTTTTGCCATCTATTGTTCCCAGCATTAGGCTCTTCTCCAGGGAGTCCTTCCTTCTCATTAGGTGGCCAAAGTAATTGAGTTTCATCTTCAGTATCTGGCCTTCTAAAGAGCAGTCAGGGTTGATCTCCTCTGGGACTGACTGGTTTGATCACCTTGCAGTCCAGTGGACTCACAGGAGTCTTCTCCAGCACCACAATTCAAAGGCCTCAAATCTTTGGCACTCAGCCTTCCTTATGGTCCAACATTCACAGCCATAAATTGCAACTGGGAAAACCCTAGCCTTGACTATATGCACTTTTGTTGGCAGGATGAAGTCTCTGCTTTATAATATCCTGTCTAGATTTGCCATAGCTTTCCTCCCCAGGACCAAGCATCTTTTAATTTCTTGGCTGCAGTCCCCATCTGCAGTGATCTTGGAGCCCAGGAAAATAAAATCTGTCACTACCTCCATTTCTTCCCCATCTATTTGCCAGGAAGTGATAGGACCGGATGCCATGATCTTAGTTTTCTTAATGCTGAGTTTCAAGCCAACTTTTGCACTCTCCTCCTTCACCTGCATCAAGAGGCTCTTTAGTTCCTCTTCACTTTCTGGCATGAGAGTGGTATCATCTGCATATCTGAGGTT